GGAAGAAGAGAGAAAAAATGATGAAGCTTTGTCCTTGTTTCATCAATCCGCAACATCTTGGACCTAATTCGCCTAGAGACTCATTCGATGAAGGTCTTACAGCTTATCGAGGCCATAGCCGTAAACTATTTGCTCTGTTCACCTTTCGATCACGCAAGAGAGGTACTCATAAATGTTATCTCGTCTTGTTCCAAATCAATCCTCTCAAAGATTTGATCATCATTTTGGTTTCTGAAAATGTTTTTATGAACATTGTTAAATGCAGGAAGCAGCAGGCAGAAGTATATAACGGATGAGATAAAGAAGTATGGGAATGTGAAGAACTGCGGTACAATCTTCAAATTCAAGGAACTAATAGCTGCAACCGATAATTTCAGCATGGATTGTATGATTGGAGAAGGCGGTTTCGGAAGAGTCTACAAAGGTTTCCTCACCAGCCTCAGTCAGGTCCTTTTTCAATCTCTCAATCATCTTATATATGCGTCACGGATTTGGCGAAAAGCTGCTAATTTCTTGTTCTGATTGAATGATGAGAAGTATAGGTGGTGGCTGTAAAGCGGCTTGACCGCAATGGGTTGCAAGGAACAAGAGAGTTCTTTGCAGAGGTAATGGTATTGAGTCTGGCTCAACATCCAAACCTTGTCAATCTCATTGGCTATTGCGTAGAAGACGAGCAACGAGTCCTTGTTTACGAGTTCATGCCAAACGGATCTTTGGAAGATCATTTATTCGGTAAAAGTTGTGACCATTTTATGTAATATCATTGATGATATAAGCTTGTGCATTGTAATCTAAAGTTTTAATCTTTCTCCCCTACATAGACTTACCGGAAGGGGCGCCAAGTCTAGACTGGTACACGAGAATGCGGATAGTGCACGGTGCAGCGAAAGGGCTCGAATACTTGCACGACTACGCAGATCCTCCTGTGATCTACCGTGATTTCAAAGCTTCAAACATATTGTTACAATCCGATTTCAACTCAAAGCTGTCAGACTTCGGGTTAGCTAGGCTAGGACCTACTGAAGGCAAAGATCATGTGTCCACTAGAGTCATGGGAACATACGGATACTGTGCTCCTGAATACGCGATGACTGGTCAGCTTACTGCTAAATCCGATGTCTACAGCTTTGGCGTTGTCCTCCTCGAAATTATTTCCGGGAGACGAGCTATTGACGGCGATAGACCAACCGCAGAACAAAACCTGATCTCTTGGGTTAGTTCTACATTAATAGTCTTGTCAACATGTTTTTTTTTGTTGTTGCTTGAGATGGAAGAAACCAATTGAGTTTTTTCTATTTTTGCAGGCGGAACCGTTGTTGAGAGATAGGAGGATGTTTACGCAGATTGTGGATCCGAATCTAGAAGGAAATTACCCGGTAAAAGGGTTGCATCAAGCTCTAGCGATTGCGGCGATGTGTTTGCAAGAAGAAGCAGAGACTAGGCCATTAATGGGAGATGTGGTCACAGCACTTGAGTTCTTGGCTAAGCCTATAGA